TGGAATTTAACCTAATTTTTTCACTCCTTAAAAATATTTCTATATAAGTTTACCTGTAATTTTTAAGGGCTGTGACTAGTCGATAACTAATTTTAAAGTAATTATTTAGTTGTTTGCATTTAAAAATTTAGACTAGATGAATGTGGTTGTCTTTAGGGTTTGTCTATTTTTACCAAATATTAAAATAAATTTTGTTAAAAATGTGTATTAACTACTTCTTGTATGTCGTCGGTGCTTTTAAGTAAAGTACTTCAGCATATATATTAAAGAATACACTATAATTTATCTTAACAACATAAATCATACAAAAAATTTCTAGGAATATAATTAAAAATATACTGAAATGTTGCAGAAAATGTTTTATTTAAATAATTATTTATAATACCTATAATGTCAGTTAACATGTAATCTACACTTAAAATATATCCTTAATATTTATCTACAGCTATTCTTTTTTTTCCAAATAATATATTTGAATATTTATAAATTATTTATAGATCAAAAATATAAAATGCTAAAAGGTGAAAAATCATATCATAAATAAATATCATTACATTATTCAAGTGTAGTAAATAGGCATTACAATTAATTTTTTTATTTAGATTGATAAAAAAATACTCAGTATTAAAATGTTCATAAACAAAAAAATAAATCATATAAATTATTTAACTATAACAAATACATTAAAATGACGTTAAATGATATATAATAAAATATTTTAAAACTTTTATTTACAGTTCAAAACAGTTAAGTAGTATCATTTTTAATAGTTCCCTAAGAAAAATAAAAAGTTTACTAATGAGCTTTGTTAATTATTCTTACAAAACATATGAAATCGTTCACTATTGCAGCATTATCGTTCATCTTGTTCGATGTATTTTTATTGACATCGTGTAACGAGGAAAAGGCTATTAATATATTGAATTCATTTCTTAAGTCAGAAAAATGGTCATTCAATCATGCATACAAGTGGTATGATATTAAAATTGGTACATCCTTTAAAACAGAAGATTTACTCATAACTGATTCTAAAAGTAAGAATATTGTTACCAAAGATAATGTATATGACAAAAAAAAAAATAGGTTCCCAATTGTTAACTTATGAGTATGCAAAAATTGTACACTGGATTGGTGCCATGTTATTTTTTATGAACAATGAATGTTCTACGAATGGTGAGATTCCTTACGATACTTTAATAGAATATTTGGATATACTCATATTAACTTCCGAAAAAGTAAAGTGGGTATTAAAACTCTTTCTTAGCGCATTAGAATTTATGAACACAATAATAGAAAGTCATGAAAAAACAATAACGGATGAACTTATTGAATTATTGACTAACTATAACTTAAAATCTAATATACTAAAATTCAAAGTAGCGATAAATGATGATGAATTGAAGTTAACATTCAAAAAATTTCACGAATTCTTTCATAAATTTTTTAGTGAAGATTTAGGAATTATTCTATTGCAATGTTGTAAAATGAATTTCGTTCGTAAGAACTTTCCTCTTGATTTAATAGAATTTAATATACATGATAAGTATACTGATAAATTAATTGATGAAAAATCCGAAGAAGAATTCACATTTTTTGTTTTTTTACATGAAACTATTCTGAATAGTGTCGATAAAATTATTAAAATCTATTACACCAATCTTGGATTCAAATATGACGAGCAAAATGAAAAAAGTAATTATATCTTGTAAAAGAAATATTAATAAATAACAATTTATCTTTTAAGTGACATACTGGCTATATCAGTTCCAAATTTAAACAAAACACTACATTTTAATTGTATATTTTATGTAATCAAAGAAATATACTCATTTATTTTGCGTTAGAATTATTTACTTCTCATTTAATGTAATCCACCTATAAATAAATCCTATAAATAAATTATAGCATTGTCGTTCATCTTGTTCTGATCAGTTATTTATAGTGTATGAGGGACAATCGGATACGAATAAGTTTACTATAGATTTCATTTAAATATATTTTATAATTATATTTGATATTGACTGTAAATTTAAAACAATAATATTTTTTAATATTTACAATCTCACTACTAAACGTATTAATAGGATCATGTTTTATGTATACATAGTGTAAACAATTTTTTGTTAATTACATTATTGTCAATTTACCTTATTATATAATAGAACAAGGAAAAAACGCTTTTCTGGAAAAATGATTTAGCGTGCTCCGATTTTCAAAATTTTTTTTTCGACGAAAATACTCGGTCATCAGACTCCAGAAAAATTATTGGCAAAGTTCAGAAAATTTTTGCCACCCGCCCGCGAGCGTTTTAAAATTTCAACCTTTTTTTTTTCAAGTTCATGCGCATGGTTTTAATTTGCGGAGTGATTCATTTCTTCTCATACGTTTATTATGAACCTTAATTATATGGTGTAATATGTATTTTTAATAGGACACTATTTTGCATTTGCACATAGCACTATATTTTATCGAGGAATATTATATGTTATATATAAATTTCAAGACGGTTATAATTATATAAGTTAGTACTTTCATTATCAGAACAGAACATTATTAATAATCTTTTTTTTTCTCATATATGATATATTTGTCTATGAGTTTATCTTTTAAATTGAGGATTCATCTATGACAACTATGCTGTCCAATGTTAAATCGCATAAAATTGTCGTTGGTTAACGTCAACGAATTTTAGTGTTTGAAATGACCACCGCTCTGCACCGTGTTCCCAACAGTAGACAATGTTTTTTATATAAATAACGTCTGCGGCCGTGGTTAGAGCAAAGCTTACTCATTAAACATTTAGCAGCAGCAAATCGTTAGATCTTAATAACCATTAGTACAAACACAAGTGATAAGTGAGTATTTATAACAAGTATTTATATACACAGTGTACATAGAAATTTCCACTGGTTGAATATTATACATTCATAACGTGGTCTTGCCTCGGACTAGACAAACAATATAAGGTGACTGCGGGGAATAGTTGGGTTTCAAGACTTTCATCGACGTTTAGGTGACCTTGATGTAGTTTACATGGGGTTTGAAAGATAGTTAACGAAAAACCGTTTTTTACACACTCTTTAATTTAACTCGAAACACGATTTTTTTTTCAAATGAATTGTATAACCTCAATGTTATTAGGCGGCAACAGCGGACGTGTAAATTAAACAGTAATTAAGCGAGTGTTTTAATACTCAAGGCGGAGGCGGCGCGTCATCGTCGTTGTCATCAACAAATACATTACCGGGTCGCGTCAACTTTCTGGCGGAACCAAACGGTAGGACAGGTAAAAAATGAACGTCGGGGTATTTGCGTATAGGAGTGCGGCACATAAAACCCGCAGGCTCGACGTGTACTTTTCACACGTGCTAGCAAGATCTCCTTGGAAAATGAATTTTTTTTTTTATAGTAGTAACACAGCGGCACGCGTAATAGGACTAACGTCAACAATTACAGCCGAAGACTAGTAGTGGTTGAACAGTAATAAGGGCTACCGAGTGCGCGGCACAATGTTAGGTAGCAATTGATGACTTCATATCTTAGGACACGAGGACGTCGTCACCTTGTGACGTCGACGCCCTTGTCCTTGTTTTGGTACCCGCTTACTATAATTACTAGCTAGCAAAAATATTTTATGGGCCTTTCTAAACAAACATAAAAAAACAAAATTCATTACAAGACCAATATATTCATAGCTACGCATTGAAACTGTATAATCCTATCATAAAGATGTTAAAAAAATTTAATCCATGGAGTGTATTATAAAAATTGATTATAATTGTAAAATTCATTGTAATTTCAGTTGATAACCAAAATCATTTTTCTTAGAAATTATTTATACAATAACATGTTACAAAAAAAATTATATTACTATAGATTGGTAGTAGACAATACAACTAGAGTCGATGAAATTTATTTAAAACAAAGTAAGTTATTTAACTATGTAATTGAAACTTAATATATGTAGCTGAGAAAAAAGTATGATAGACACAAAAAAAGAAAAATACATAGTAAATTAATTATAATATGAATAAGAAATTCCTTCTCACAAGAAGAGATTTCAGTGATGGGGTGCTCCTCGATATTTTTTGAAGTTATTCAATCTAAATGAGATAAATATCAATTGAATTTTGAAATTTTTTCTATGTTCAAAAAAATTAAGATAAATGTACAAAAAAAAAAGTCATTGCGACGATCAGATTTCGAATCTTGTATCATTAGACAAAATACATTAGCGTTACTGACTGAGCAATCGCACTTATTAGTAAATAGAAAAGAACATTTAGTATAATTCAAAATTTCAGTAATTTTTCTCGACTATAAAGAAGCAAAAAATTTTAAAATTTGTTTAATTATATTCAATGATTCATATAGATTTATATCTTATATCATATAGATCTTATAAAATCGGGCACCTCAATATTATAGCTACCTCTTTTAAGGTTGTGACTGTAGTATTTTAGCAACCCTCTATAATATTATTCGAAAATAAAATAATTTTTAGTTGTACATTTTTTAAAAAGTAATAACGGAGCAAAATTGAAAAAAAAACCCAACACAGAGGGACGCAGCACAGTGGTGACATGGCATAGTTGGGTTCAGTATAAATGATATCTAACAGTGATTAAAATCACTGTCATAAAAAACGCTCCGATGCAAATTTTTAGATACTGTTTAATATTAAAAATTTGGGGGATTATTCCATAAGCTACAAGCTATTTCCTTATTTATATCCTGATTAAGATAAACTATGTAGAATGAAAGAGGGATATATATATTTTTCTCATAAAAAAATTGTACTGATCCATACCCCTTACAATAAGTTATAGCATTATAAAGTTAAAAATGTAAAATATAAAATTGAGAATTGTCACACTAAAATAGCATTCGGTAACTATTTTCACCATGAAGACAAAATAAACTCCAAAATTTTTTTTTTTTCATAATAAAGTATATTATATAAGTTTTAATTTAAGATATATATATGTCAGAATTTCCGGAACACTTTCAAAAGTTAAGTTACCTTTTTGGCCAAAATGTTGCCATTTTGAAAATCCCCCTGTGCGCAGATAAAGAGTCAGATTTTCAAACAATATCAAATGATAGGTTGGTAAATACCTATTGTATTACAAAAAAAGTCATTAATTCATCAATTTTTCAAAAAGTTATGTCAGTTGTAATTAAAAAATGTCGATTAACCTTTTAGGGATTCTCCTATTTATGGCTAACGTGGGAAAATTGTTCGATTTTTTAGTGTAAGGTGAACAGATGCGATAATCGTAAGATTCGATATGTGTTATTTTGATATATTCATAAAATCGGTTCAGTGAAAGATGAGAATAAGTAGTAACAGACACACAAAAAAAATATACATCATAAAATAAAATAAATGCCTTTTCTGCTTCGCATCGACGCTAAAATATAAAAAAAAACAGAGTTATATAATTGTTTACATATCAAAATAAGATAAACTTTTTCATTATTTTAAATAAATAATAATTGATTATAAATTATAATAATTATAATTAATAGATTATTTTATTTTTGTTATTACACAGTATTTATAGGTTACATTAATTGAGAAGTAAATAATTCTAACGCAAAATAAATGAGTATATTTTTTTGATTACATAAAATATACAATTAAAATGTAGTGTTTTGTTTAAATTTGGAATTAATACAGTCAGAATGACACTTAAAAGATAAATTGTTATTTATTAATATTTCTTTTACAAGATATAATTACTTTTTTCATTTTTCTCTTCATATTTGAATCCAAGATTGGTGTAATAGATTTCAATAATTTCATCGACACTATTCAGAATAGTTTCATGTAAAAAAACAAAAAATGTGAATTCTTCTATAGATTTTTCATCAGGTTTTTCTTTTAATCTATCAGCATACAAATAATGTAAAATATATTCTATTAAATCAAGAGGAAAGTTCTTATTAAAGCCATTAATTTTACAACATTTAAATAAAATAGCTTCTAGTTTAGTACTAAAAAATGTATGTATCAATTCGCTAAATGTGTTAAATGATAACTTCAATGCAACATCATTTATCGCTACTTTAAATTTTAGCATATTAGATTTTAAGATAAAGTCAGTCAATAATTCAATAAATTCATCCGTTATTGTTTTTTCATGACTTTCTATTATTGTGTTCATAAATTCTAATGCGCTAAGAAAGAGTTTTAATACCCACTTTACTTTTTCGAAAGTTAATATGAGTTTTTCCAAATATTCTATTAAAATATTATAAGGAATCTCATCATTCGTATACCATTCTTTGTTCATAAAATATAACATGGTACCAATCCAGTGTACAATTTTTGCATATTCATAAGTTAACAATTGCGAACCTATTGTTATTTTGTCATATACATTATCTTTGGTAACAATATTCTTACTTTTAGAATCAGTTATGAGTAAATCTTCTGTTTTAAAGAATGTACCAATTTTAATATCATACCACTTGTATGCATGATTGAATGACCATTTTTCTGACTTAAGAAATGAATTCAATATATTAATAGCCTTTTCCTCGTTACACGATGTCAATAAAAATACATCGAACAAGATGAACGATAATGCTGCAATAGTGAACGATTTCATATTTTTTGTAAGAAAAATTAACAAAGCTCATTAGTAAACTTTTTATTTTTCTTAGGGAACTATTAAAAATGATACTACTTAACTGTTTTGAACTGTAAATAAAAGTTTTAAAATATTTAATTATATATCATTTAACGTCATTTTAATGCATTTGTTATAGTTAAATAATTTATATGATTTATTTTTTTGTTTATGAACATTTTAATACTGAGTATTTTTTTATCAATCTAAATAAAAAAATTAATTGTAATGCCTATTTACTACACTTGAATAATATAATGATATTTAGTTATGATATGATTTTTCACCTTTTAGCATTTTATATTTTTGATCTATAAATAATTTATTTAAATGTATATGCTGAAGTACTTTACTTAAAAGCACCGACGATATACAAGAAGTAGTTAATATACATTTGTAACTAAATTTATTTTAATATTTGGTAAAAATAGACAAACCCTAAAGACAACCGCATTCATCTAGTCTAAATTTTTAAATGCAAACAACTAAATAATTACTTTAAAATTAGTTATTGACTAGTCACAGCCCTTAAAAATTACATGTAAACTTAAATAGAAATATTTTTAAGGAGTGAAAAAATTAGGTTAAATTCCACACATTGTTTGAATTGCGTCCACAACAAAAAAAAATAAAGTTAATGGGACACAATTTGAAAAGGGAATGAAAAAAATTTCTTGCCTAGAACTCTTCAAAAAAAAAAAAAAAAAAAAAAAAAACTAGTGTTTGAACAAATTTCGTAAAATTATTTAACAATTATTAGGAATATAGCTATTTTTTAATTTTCATAAAATTGATAGAGGTTAATAAAATAATTAAATGTACTTTTATAATTGAAGATATGAATTAGTAAATATTAGTGTTTAAAAATATTTGTTTGTTTTTTAATATTAAATGTTTATAAAATATAGCTTAAGGATTATTACGATATAAAATAAATTTATAGGTGAAACAAGACTAAAATTTCTGTGGGTGCTAAATGTATTGGTTTTGTAATGGTGTGCTTATTTTATATCTGTCCAGAAAGGCCCAAAAAATAGTTTTTGTTAGCTTTTGATGTAACTGGATCCTCTAGATTACGACTTAAATTTAAACACTAATTATGTATGATTATAATTTAACAATGTAAAATAAAATAAAAACTTTTTACCTAAAGTATTTTTATTAAAATTTAAAAACTGCAATAACATTTTTTTAAACATTGAATCCAGAAAATTTTAGTAGAGTGTAAAAGAAATAATAAGCTTTCTTATGATATGCTTTTTATGAGAAGCCAAAGAAAAACCTAAACAGACAAATGGATTAAAAGAAGCTACCTACGTATGTAAAAAATTTTATTTCAACTCAATTTTTAATAATGTTACGGAACGATTGTGTTCTTCAAATCTATATCAAATTAAAGCTTTTAAAATGTATTACAATATAAAAAAAATAATTTTTCATCAAAATATACAAATACATTATTTTCAAAAAAGCAAATTTAATAAGCATTTAATGTTTAAGTAGAATTTAAAAACATAAATATTGTAAAATTACAAATATACAAATTATTGTGAAATTTAACAATTTCGCAAGGGAGTGTTTTCTTTGATAATAATGCTAATTACTGTCAAATATTATCTACTAATCCCCACTGTGCTAGTTTTTATGTAAATTATGTTTATATTTATTTTATTATTCTATTTCATATATTCCAATATAATTATTTGGCGTAATGAAATCAGCTGTTGCATTAAACAGGGGTTTCAGAAATTTGATTGACGATTCCTGTGCGTTATCTAATGTTGGCTATTTATATGGATATGTCAACAGACCGGACTGAAACCTCATCAGACTTATACAATCTATTCTTACCCTTATCTAACTCTAATTTTAATAACGTCGATGACAATCATTGTTCAAACGCTATATTATATGCATACTGTTATTTTTTGTAGGGTTAGGTTTTAACCAGTCAAAATCTTTCGCGGTCAATTGACTAAATTTTGAATTCTATCAAAAACCAAAATTGTTATTTTACTTCACAGTTAACCTAATCAATCAGTCAATGAGTCTTCTTTTATTTAAAATTTAGAATGGACAGTTTATTCATTTATTCTAACTTGTGATGTTATATTGAATTTAAACAAATAAAGTTAAATTATAATTTGTGATTTACTATGTTTTAATAGTAAACTTAGTTAATTTACTTCAAATTGCAATAATAACTTTTTAATCTAAGGTAAAATAGCTAATAGAAATTTTTTTCGTTCCGTATAATACATAATGTTTTTTTTAATTCAAAGAAAAAAAAATTCTAAATATCTAATATAAAAACTACAATTAGGAAATCTATTACAGATAAATACCACAAAATTCTGTCTTTGGTGTTCAAGACAGTCCAATAACTACACATGATTATAATTCATATATTTTTTTCATTATTTTTAATTTTTCAGAAAAGTTAATTTACCCTTATACCTGTGAAAGGGCACTCGCCTGCCATGAAATGTTGAAAAAATTATAATGTATGTACCTCTTACCAGATGAGTAATTTCAGATTTTACTAGAATGGGGGAAAATTTTTGAACAGCTCATTATTTCACGAAACCGCTATTTTCACTCGTAGTTCATTCTTAAAAACTCATACCTATTAAGTTTTATAAGAAAATTGAAAAACATAATGTTTTCTAAAATCATTTTAACAATAATAATTAAAAAAACGATAGCAAAGTGGGGTCGAGGCACAGTGTGGATGAGGCATAGATGGGACAAGTATAGATGATATCTGACAGTGATTAAAATCACTGTCGTAAGAAACACTTTGATGCAAATCTGTAGATAGTGTTTCATTTAGAGAAGTTGNCACTTTGATGCAAATCTGTAGATAGTGTTTCATTTAGAGAAGTTGGATTATTCCAAAAGCAACATTAACTCTTATTTCTTTGATTATATCCTGATTAGTAGGTCTTTGATTTTAAAATATAATATATGAAAAATACTAATTATAATTATTAAATTTAGTATACAATTGATATTCAGTAATTTAATATTGTAATTTATACGGAGAAATTATAAAAATAATGAAAAAGTTATATTTTGCTTTACTTTTACGTGTATAAAAATTTAAAGGGCTTGATACAATATTTTTCAATTAAAATTGTTTGTTACTATAAATAAATGTACTGGACTACAAGGAACTTTCATCAGAAGCAAAATTTTACTTTTTTAAATCAACTTTTTGCGATGTTTTATATGTGCAATTAGACTTTTTCTATCACTTCTAATTTTTTATATAATAAGAAATTACATATAAAATAATAATTAATAGAAAAAAAAATTATTATTGATTTGATTTTTAATATGTTAAAAATAATCAGTCCAAATTTTCATTGTTAACCTATATTTTTGGTTCATTAAAGTTGATGAAAAATTTTTGATAATGATTTGTGAAACTTTATAGTAAAAAAAATTGAACTTGTAACATAACTTTTAGCTGCTCAATTACAAGTTTGAAATTTAAATCATTAAATAGAAAATATTATGATAGTTAAAACTATGCTATTTTTAAGACTAATTATTTCAAACTCTTTATTTTTTTGCATTTTTATCGTAATACTACACTTAAATAGAAATCATAGTAATCATTTCTAAGTAATTTTTGGTATTTAAAAATATGTTACAATCGCTTTTAGCTCAATTACAAGTTTAAAATTAACATCATTAAATAGAAATTTTTATGAGAATTAAAACAATGTTATTTTAAGACAAATATGCAGTCAGGAAATTTTATAATTATTATTTACAGTATATTTATCAGAAAAACTCATTATTTTTTTGAATTTTTATCGTAATAGAACACTTAAATAGAAATCATAGTAAACATTTCTAAGTAATTTTTAGTATTTAAAAATATTCTACAATTGTAATATCCAGAACTGAATTAATTTTAATGATTTACTTTA